GCACATGCAAGCGAACACTGGTCGAAGCTGGATATTGGATTCGCCGCGAGACTTATGCTCGAGCTTCGCTCGCGTGTGTCGGCACGTCCCGCAACGAGCGACGATTATGGGTTATCGATATTGCGGACTTAGCTCGGCACGTCGGCGAGCCGCGCGCGCGTCGGCCGCCTCATGGATATGCAAAAATGTAAAAACGCTCAACCCCTGACAACGGCCGGGGGATGGCAGGAGGGAAGAGGACGGAGCGGTAGTGTTCGGCCGGCGATCGTGTCGCCCTGACGTGGGCAAACTAGTTTGCCTCTTTCGGCGAACACGGCCAAGAGAGCGGCGAGCCCGGCGGCGGCTCGCAGCGAAAGGCCACCGAACGGCCGCCGAACAAATTCAGGGCGGTGTTTTTGGTCGGCGTCCGACAGCACGACGGCGAGAAGTGGCCGACAAAAAGGGAGACCGTGCCGGAAAAACGAGAGGAGCACAGCGAGAACGAAGGGCGCGAGAACGGTGAGAAAGGAGGGGAAGAGATCACGGAACTAGTGGCGCGCGCACAAAGCGATGATAAATATTGTCCGCTGGTGCGAGAGAGAGAGAGAGAGAGAGAGAGAGAGAGAGAAAGAGAGAAAGAGAGAGGGAGAATAGCGTAGAATTATCGTTACTGTACACGTGTTTGTTCGCGCGCGATGGAAATGATGTAGGCGGCCGTGCTTCACGTCAAGCCGCTTACGCGAGCAAAGAAATTTTCGCATTAATTAAAAGCAAGATGTGATAAATGAACGTTTGCCCGGCTGGAAAGAAAGACATGGGGGAAAGAGAGAGAGAGAGAGAGAGAGAGAGAGAGAGAGAGAGAGAGAGAGAAAACGAAGAAAAAGGAGGAAACACCGAGGTGGCTTGACTCCATTAAGCTTCTCATGTATTTATCATAAGGCTGCTCCCACTTCAAACACGGCCGGTGTTCCACTTACATGAGATAGCGGGCGGTTCATCTTTGCGGAAATGTATAGCGGCGTCTGGCCGGGTGTCACGTGACATTATGTTCCGTCAAAACTTGCCGCGGCTCTAGAAGCGTTATTAACGACTGCGACATTTCCATATCGCGCATTTCACCGAGCGCGCGCGCGCGCGCGCGTGTCCCGAAACGTTACAATACGATTAACCGAGCCGAAAATACGAGTTTAAATTTGTGATTGCGTTGCGAATTTCGCGAGTTAAATTAGGCAATTCGCGCACACCTCCCGCTGCCGCACACGTCCCTCCCCCTCCGCCCCCAGTGTTGAAATGCGATAAATATTTCGGCAAGCTTTCGACTCTTTCGACGTCCGTTTGAGCGCGTAATTGCTGTAATTTGATAGTATAAGCACTTCGCACGGTTTATGAATAGTTATTCATGCATTATTATTGGCTACAATTGCGACGATCTAATTATTATCAGTTTCCGATATCGTATTTATTAACGGAGCTGCCCACTCACGAACCGCTTCGCTGTGCCGGCGCGGCGACGATTCGCGGGGATGAATGGAGCGGAATATGCTCTAAGAAAAGACGGGGCCACCTTCCGGTGTGTGGTGAAAATAACAACGTGTACGAACACACCGCGCTCGTATCCTCTCGCGAAAGAATCCTAATTGTGTTAAAACCCGAGTAGAAAAATTAATAGGATTCCGGTAAGGGTCTGATTATTTTCGGGGAGGGAATGTTGACGCAGTTCCCCCGACTCCTCCACTCCGGCCCGCCTGGCAGGCACCCCGGGGGGGTTTTAGCTGGTAAGAGTCCGGCATAACCCTCCCCCCTCCCTCAAGGAGAGCGTGGTATCCATGAGGATTTCGTCCCCGTTATAAAAAAAAGGGTCTGATTATTTTTCCCTAATATTAATCGGGCCCTAGCAGGGCTGGAAAGACAAGGGTTTTGCAAGATGTGTAACAAATAGTTTAACAGGTTCTTATAAGGAAATATTTTTTATTATTGCTTGAGTAAAAATATTCGTTCTTTTCATTCCAAGAAATTTAGACTATAATTTCTTTATTTCTTTATAACCTTGTTAGTATACAACAAGAAATTTGTATTTTAAAAATATAGCATACTTCACAACAAAATATAACGTTCTGTACACATAAAAATCCTGCTACTGTTTATATTAAAGTAGCATACTTTACAATAAAATATAACATTCTTTACGCATAAAAATCCTGCTACTATTTTTATTCAAGTTTGCTATATTACGAAACGAAGGCAATACTAGATAAATCCTTGGAAGAGACTAATGGATATGGCAACTGATAAAACTAATAAAATTTGTTTTTAATTGCGGTATAATTAAAAAATCTTTAAAGAACCTCTAAAGAAAAATCTCTAAAGAACCAGATAAAGCGTACTTACTAAAACAATATTAAACTATGACAATTTTATTACACGTTTCAGATCTTATTAACTTTTTATAACAAAACTTGATTTTGTATATCTAAAGCATCCTTAGAAGATCCTTCTAAGGTCCACATCAGTTTTCCATCTT